AAGACTCCAGGCATTTTTCTAAGTCAGGGATCTGAAACTAAAATGGTGTGCTGGTTTTGGCTAGGGTAGAGTTAACTTTTTTCCCAGCAGCTTGTATGCGGCTGTGTTTGGCCGCACAGTTGTGCTGGAAACAGTGTTGATAGCACAAGGGTGTTTTAGTTACTGTTAAGCAGCACTTGGTGCACACAGGGTGCCAAGGCCTTTTTTGCTCCTCAGGCCACCTCGCCAGTGAGTGGGCTGGGGTGCACAAGGAGTTGAGAGACACAACTGGGACAGGTAATCCCTACTGAACAAAGGGATATTCTATACCATACGGCATCATGCTGAGCATATAGACCTGGAGGCAGAAGAAGGAAGCAGGGGACATTCGGAGTGATGACTGTTGTCTTCCCAAGTCACTGTTACGCATGTTGGAGCCCTGCTTCCCTGAAATGGCTGAATGTTTGCCTGCCCGTGGAAAGCAGTGTGTAACTCCCTTGTTTTGCTTTGCTTTTGCTTTACCTATCAAACTGCCTTTTTCTCAACTCCTAACTTTACTCACTTTTATTCTTTCAATTCTTGACCCCATCCCACCAGGGTGAGGGAAGCAAGCAGGTGGCTGGCTGGGGCTTGGTTGTCATCTGGGGTTAAACCGCTACAAATGGTGGTGGTTGTGGTGGGATTTCTGTCTATCAGTGCTACAGTTGCTGCTTTTGCTGCTGTTACAAGAAGTAGCCAATTCAGTCAGATCTTCTGATTTGGTATACAGGAATTTCCTTGGCTTAGAAGGACGCTTTATACCAACCATTGAAATAAGACACTTATAAAGTTATGATAGTGTTGTGGAAAAGCAGGGCAAAGCTTAGTTTTATGCTTATGGCGGCTACACTAGGACAGTGAGAAACAATGAGGGATTTCTATAAGCTACACCATGACTGTTGAGCAACATGCTTATATACTGAAGTATTTACTGTCAAAGGAAACATGATGAAGGGCTGTTTGTTTGAGTCTGCAGTGGCAGAGTGGTTCACAGGCTGTGGAGTGCACACTCATCTTCCAGGTGAGTACCAAGAGGTAGGAAATAAATATCCCATATACCTATAAGCTCTGGCAAGGTTTCTAGCAGCCTGTTGGCAGAGAAAGACATAAAGCCACCACTGTGAGCAGTAGGAGCTGGTGAGTGGCTCAGCAATGGAAAGAAATCTTCTCACATATACCAGTACCAACAGTCCACATGGAAAAGGTCTTCTTCCTACAAGGCCCAAGAATCAAGCCCCAGAAGGGAGCCAGCTAGAGACATTCAGGGCAGAACAGACCTTTTATCTTTTCCTGCATCCCAGCGTAGAGCAGAACAGCCAGGATGACGACCTCACAGAGTTCAACTCCCACCATAGGGAGACAATGGCAGAAAGACTTTCTCCTTCTTCAAATATTCATCCAGGCCTTAGCCTGGCCAGCTGAATATATTTCTATGATTCTGCTTATTTTAATGTGGAATGAGAGTCAGTTAAAAGATTTTTGCTTTGTACTATTGAAACCCAGGTAGCATCAAACGGAAAGCAAACCACTACTGATCTGTGTCTCTACTTCTGAGACTGAATCAATGTCACCCAAAACTCTCTCAACAGAGAAAAGCTTCAGGCTGGAGAACATGATTGCAGGAAATCCTTTGTGCTCGTGACAGCAGAGCTTGGCGGGGGGAGAGGGGCAAGAGATGTCCTGGGCAAGCAGTTTGACCTCAAAACTATGTCTTTTGTCCTTCCAGCCTTCTACCCTTCAACCTGATAGGAATTCAACACAAATAACTACACTGTGGATGCTGAAACAGATGACCTACTAGATGTCCTTCTTAACAAATGTTTTTATGAAGTTAACAAAAGGACTATACAGAAGCTTCCCATTAATCCAGGCCCAGAGTCAGGTTGTACTCAGGGTGTGCTTATAAACAACCCTTCTTGGAATACTAATCAAACATATTTGATTAAATAGCAAAGCTAATTTTTTTTTGCTTAGATTCAAGAAATATCTCTCTCAGCATTTAAAGGAAAGGATCACACCCCAGACTTTTGCCCAAGTTTTTCTTCCTGGGGAGAATTTCTGAATTCCCTTATAAAATTGAGTTCTTGAAAAACTTCTGGGGACAATCTAAGTTTTATAAATTGAAAGAATGAAATGCGTTTGTACACATAATAAATATTTGTGTGAGCCAAAATTAATCAGGCCTACACATCTTTGTATAGAAAGATTGAGACACACGAGAAACCTATAATCAAAACTCCTTTTCATACAAAAGCGAGACTCCAATATTCTGCATTTACTTTGGTTTCTTTATTTCCACTGGAGGCATAATTTTATATCAAGTTTCCCTTTAGAAACAGCAAATGGAAAGTTACTAAATGGTTAATAACAATAAATGATTAATAGATGTTGTAATAAATAATCAATAGTTTTAAAATCCAGTCAGTCAATAGGTTGCCAACCATTTCTAAAAACCATGTATTACACCTCATCTTGACATGCTTATAAGCTTCGATATCACTTGTTACTGCAAGGCTTATACCTCTAGGAAGCATTTATTAACCCTTTATAAACTGTAGGAATTAAACCATATTGTAGAATGCAAAATAAATACCTTATGATCAGAAGTCCATCACAAAGACAGAATATCAGTCCCAGTGCAGCTGATCTTTCTTATGAAGATAGTAAATTATTTGAAGGCAGTTGAACTAGATTTTCTACTGTGCAAGAAATAGCCATCCAGGAATCTCGCACGGGTGTCTAGAGGTCAACTGGTGCAGTTTACCTACCACCCAGAGCCAGTAACCCAAGACCATACCCAGAGGGCTTTGGACTATCCCAAGGATGGAGACACTGCAACATCTCTGGACAGCTTGTACCAGGGATCAGTCACACTCACAGTGAAAAATTGTTTTCTGATGTTAAGACAGAGCCTCCTGTGTTTCAGGTTGCACCCACTGCCTCTGGTCCTGCCACTGGACACAACTGAAAACTGCCTGTCTGCACCTTCTTTGTACCTTCCCATCAAGCATCTCTACACAAGGATAAGATCCCCCTGAGCCTGCTCTTCTTTAGGCTGAACAGTGCCAGCTCTCTCAACCTTTCCTTGCAGGAGAGATGCTCCCTTAAACACATTTGTGGCCCTTTGCTGGACACAAGTCTCTCTTGTACTAGAGAGTTCAGAACTGGCCACAAAACTCCAGGTGTGGTCTTACCAGCACTGAGGAGAGGGAAAAGATCATCCCCCTTGACCTGCTGGCAGCAATTTGCTTAGCACAGCCCAGAATGATATTAACCTTCTTTGCAGTAAAGGCATGTTGTTGTTTTATGTTCAGCTTTTCATCCATGAGGATCCCCAGGGCCTTTTCTGCAAAGCTGAACAATACATATCTTTAGCAAACACCTGACCCAAATTCCATATAATGCAACCTGTTCTTCAATATGTTATAGATTAACTTGAATTCACAGGATAAGATCATCCACTGAATTCAGAGAGGCCAAAATTTGACCTAGGGAAAATGAAGGAGAACTTTAAGAATTTACCTGCTCCTTTGGATCTGTCCCTTAATTGACAGTTGCTTAATTTTTATGCCTAAACATATTTTCATTATTAAGTATTTAGCAGAGCATTGGAATATTAGTTTTCTTCCAGAACTAATTTCAATAAACACTTCTAAGGAGATGGATGTAGGCTTTGCTCACCCTGAGATTTAGTAAAAGTTAATAATAGTAGAAGTTAATAATTGCCAAACAAGGAGACAAACTGTTGTTTGGTTTGGAGTCAGTCCACTTACATATCCCCTGACACCTTAAATGAGTTCATTGTATTTTACGAGTATTAAAGCTTCCCTCTTCAGTCAACTGGTTCTCTTGATTTAATTTGAATACATACTGTGAAGTTATATCCCTTGAAATCGTTGGCTTGTCTGAAGGTCCCCAGATGCTCCCTCGTCAGTTCTCTCTTCAGTCCCACTCACTCTTCTCCACACACCTCTCACATCTTTACTCAGCTGGTGCTAGCCCACACAAATACATCAGTCAAAACAGGAAGGTTTTCTCTTTCATATGTTAATACTCAGCAGGAGAACACAGAATAAATTTCCCCTACTAATATATATAAATATATATGTGTGTATGTGTATGTTTATGACCTACACTCTTCAGTGATTGTAGTTACCTGACTTAGGATTTCCATTGAACCATGAGGTGAGGTTTGCTTTTTTTTTATTTTATTGCCTCAAGTGCTCACTCTGGCCAAGAAACAGGGAACACAGTTTCTCCCCCATCCCTGAACATACAGCTGGGCAAGAGTTTCTTGTTACATTTATCATGTTATGTGTGGAGTTAGGTTTCTTGTCATACTCACAATGTAAGCAGCAACTGGGTATACTGGAATGGACTGCCACTCTCTCATGAAGCCCACTAATATTGAAGCACAAATATCAGTGTCACTGGAAACACATATGGTTGCAATGCTCTACTTCAAGGGCTGCACCATAGTGTTGGGCAGATCAGTCAAAACCCAATTGTGACAACAGAAAAGTCATATCCATCTTTCTGTCATATACAAAGTGTCTGACAGCACATCCTAATAGGAAGTGGTGAGTTACATTGAGTTACCTATTCTGTCAAAAGGAGAGGGATGCCTAAATGGTGGGTTACATTTACTTACCTTGTTCTGTCAAAAGGAGAGGGATGCCTAAATGTGACACATGTATACAAAACTGTGGTAAAGACTTGACTTCCACTCCTTTACAGACACGAAAGAATTCAAATGTTTTTGTGTTTTCAGACCGGGAAGAACAAAAAGAAAAAAATGGTCATGTTAAAAAAAGAGTTTTATTTACTAAATCGTTGCTAAGGCTGTGGTTTTTGTCATGGTTCCTGAGAGAGTCAAGGAGTTTATGTTTTCAGAAAATTATCTGTGACTGATGACATTTTGGGACTTTTTGCATGTGGGTGGGTGGATGCAATGCTAACCAGTTGAATCTATTTCAGAAAAATCCTTTGCTGCTGTCAAGTCCCAGACTACAATAGAATATGACAAAGAGAAGGAACGCAACAACGCCACCACAATGACAAAGTGTCCTGGAACAGTAAACTCACGAAGACTGCCTGGAGCAATGAGCCTTCTCCCTCAGTGAAGAAAACAAAAGGTCTTTTATTCTTTCTCTCTCTTCCCGGCCCCCTTCCCACTCACTCCCCCACATCCCCTTACCCATATTTAGAACTATAGCCTGTTTCAAAGGTTAGTTCTGGCACAGTGACCAAAAGGATCTCCATATGGTTTTTATTTATTTATTCTTTGTCTCAGATGCTTTTGGCACAACATATTTGCATGAGTTTGATGGTGTTTATAGAAACCTTGAATACTGGAGTTCATAGAAAAGGTCATTGGCTCATTCTTTCTCTTACTTAAATTGAATTTTCCCCACTGTTGTTTCTGCTGCTACTCATTTTATTTTTAATAGATATTGATTTCTTTTCCAGATTTGTATTTGTTTTTATTTATTTGTTTGCTTGCTTTTTGTTGTGGTGGTGGTTGGGTTTTTTTCAGCTTGACCACCCCTGGGTTCCCTGCAAAAAGCTTCAGACAGTCTTATTACATTGGAGGAATGTGGCCTTGTCGATGAAATTGTCACTTGGAGCTAGTGCCCATTCCTCCTCGGCACAGAAGGCTTCCCTTCAGTCTCCCTAAAAGAGGAGATTTATTCTGATTGAGTTTTCTTATGAAGCACAGCATCTTCAGAGGCTGAACATTCTGTCCACTGCCTTTAACAACTTAATTCCTATGTATAGCAAACAACTGTGCCAAAACTGCTGTCCATTTACCTACTTGTAGTATTTGTGGAAAACCTCATTTAACACATGCTCCAGTTCAATAGAGGGCTGTGGCAAAGCTCCAATTCAGAAAAACCATTAGCTCCTTGTTTCCTTCTGAAGTGACTCAGACTGTGTTCAGTTGAGTAGAAGAGTCTCCTTATATCCACTTCTAAATAATGCCAAATAGTGCTAAGGTTTAATTGCTCTGTGGTTGTGCTTTCTTGGTCTTCAGTAGAGTTATGTGAAGAAATAATTTTTACTACTCATCTTCAAATGTTAAGATTCAGATAGGGAAGTTACTCTTCATGTAGACTACTTTGAGTCTATATACATAAATATATATATATATATGACATGTATCTTATAACATTTTAAGTCACTGTTGGTAAATGTTAATGAGAACTGGCTAAACAGCAGATCCCAGAGGGTTGCAATCAGTGATACAGGGTCTAGTTGGAGGCTTATCACTAGTGGTGTCCCAAAAGGTTCAGTATTTGGCCCAGTATTGTTTAACTTCTCCATCAGTGACTTGGATGAAGGGGCAGATGCCTCCTCAGCAAGTTCACTGATGACACAAAGCTGGGGGGACTGGCCAATACCTCAGAGGGCTGTGCTACCCTTCAGAAGGACCTCGACAGGTTGGAGAGATGGGCAGAGACCTGTTTGAAATTCAACAAAGGCAAGTGCAGGGTCCTGCACCTGGGATAGAATAACCCCAGGCACCAACACAGTCTGGGGGCTGACCTGCTGGGGAGCAGCTCTGCAGAGAAGGACCTGGGGGTCCTGGTGGACAACAATCTGCCCATGAGCCAGCAGTGTGCCCTGGTGGCCAAGACCAATGGGATCCTGCAGTGCCTTAGGAAGAGCATTGCCAGCAGGTCAAGGGAGGATCCTGCCCCTCTACTCAGCCCTAGTGAGGCCACATCTGGAGTGCTGTGTCCAGTTCTGGACTTCTCAGTACTAGAGAGACATGGAGCTTCTGGATCAGGTCCAGTGGAGAGCAACAAAGATGATCAAGGTACTGGAACATCTCTCAGGAAAGGCTGAGAGAGTTGGGCCTGTTCAGCCTCGAGAAGAGCCAACTGAGAGGGGACCCCATGAATGTATATAAGGGAGGGTATCAAGAGGATGGAGCCAGGCTCTTCTCGGTGGTGCTGAGCAATAGGACTAGAGGCAGCAGGCAGAAATTGGTGCAAAGGAAGTTCCACCTGAACATGAGGAAGAACTTCTTTACTGTGCAGGTGATTGTGCACTGGAACAGACTGCCAAGAGAGGTAGTGGAGTCTCCCCCCCTGGAGATATTCAAGAACCATCTGGACATGATCCTGTGCAATGTGCTCTAGGATGACCCTGATTAAGCAGGGAGGTTGGACCTAATGACCCAACGTGATCCCTTCCAACCTTATGCATCCTATGATTCTGTGATTCTGTAATGTCAGATGACAATTTCCTCTAGCTACGCAAACTGTAAAAGTTTCCTGAATCCAGCCTTGATGAAGCACAGCTGCCTTCAAATGCTTCAGATGTACCCCAAAACCTAAACTGCACAAAGACAAGTTCAAAGATCAAGGTAAACCCCAACTGGCTATCTTGACTGCTTGAAAGAAAAATCCTGTGGTGCTTCTTCCTAATCTGAGTGCTTTATGCACTCATACATGGGTTTCTAGTATCTGACCTAACTGACAATATCTTTCAATTTTTATATTATATAGTATGGAGATAAACCATGTTGAAAAGGAAAGCCCTGGTTTTGCTTTTTAGTGGGTATTCCAGCTCACTGGCAATGTAGCTATCAGAGGTGATATCAGAGGTTGTATGATGACTGAGGGATCTCTTGTTCTCAGCCCATGGGGAACTATTCTGCAGCTGAAGGGAAGACTTTTACAAGTTTTTGGCAAGAGGCTCATTATATCTGTTCTCAAGAAATATAGTACTTAACCAGGTACCTAACTTTACTCACCTAAAAAAAGGAAAGATCCTCCACCAGTGTCTTCTTTTTTCATGAAACTGAAAATATATGATATCAATATATACAAAAACATGTACACTATGAAATTCTACCTCACTGTGATAATGACACAGATAATAATTCAGTAGTCAAAATCACTAATGCATCCTCATTCTTTTATATTTACAGGTAATCAATGAGAAGTAGAGTAACAACCAGAAGTTAAGGTTAATGAAATCAAATGAAGAATTTTGAAAAGTCAGATGTGTTATTGTATGCCTAAATATTGACTTTAGCCCCTTATGAATAGATCAATAGGGTTTAATGTCAGAATGGACTCAGCATAACAAAAGACAACAAACTTCCCTTAAGGAATGCCTGGTCCCGCACAATGCATGTTCTTGAACTAGAGTGTATTTTTTAGAAAAGAGAACAAAAAAATAAAGAAGAAATTTAGACTTAAATAATTTCCCCCAGGTATGAATCATGACCCCTGTTGCTTCAGTGACTATTTGAAAAACTGTCTTCATTTTAGTCGGAATTTGTCTAACTTCAATTCCCCATCTCTTAGTCTTATTAGTTTAGTGAAGAGAGAAAATGGTCCTACAGAGTAGTCTGCATGTCACTCCACACTGCAGCTCACACTCAGGTTCCAGCATAACCTGGGGCCTCTCCCTGAACTCTCTTCATATCTCAGCTCCTTTTTGGATCATGGGACCAGTAGTAGGCAATATTATAGCAGGTTCAGTGCCAGCTTTGCAGGTGTTGAACACAGAAAAACCCTCTTTGCTCGTGAGGACCAAAAGCTACCGTGGGTTTTTTCCATTAGAGAGCCTTTCAGTTATAAGATTATCTTTTATGAAAGAGCCATGGAAATGTATATTGCTTTCTTGGATCCTAGCTATACTAAATAACCAATCTTTATATCTGCTTTTCCCCCTGTTCTTGTGGAATGAGCAGCTATGTGACATCAACAGGTATGTTCATTGTGCAGGGAAATGTTAAACAGCACTAAGGCTGGGTCAAATATCTGTGGCCTGAGAAAAGGAGATATTCACTACTATGTTCTTGAAACCTGTCCCTTATCCATTATCAGAGTGCTATATTGGGTTGGTACCATTCTAGGCTTTAAACTGAATGGCATGCTAACACAAAATAAAGTGCATCAGAGATTTCTTAGTTTATTGAATTAACAAGCTGTTTTTATCAAACAGAATTTTAAAATGTCACAAATACACCAGACCTTTCCTCAGACCTTTTTTCTTAACTCATGCTGATTGCTAACAGAAATATCATCTTTTTATTTAGGGCCTATGCTGATTTTCCACTATTTATGTAGTATCAATGTCCAAAACAGCAGGCTGAGTAACTCCTTCGTGCTCTGACCCAGTATTTGCTTAAGTCTCTTGGAATGGTTATGGCACATGGTAGGGGAAAAAAGTTGGTGTTCATGACTCACAGGAATGTTAAGCCATTTTGTTTAAATGAGTTAAAATTGCTGGTGTAGGCTCCTTCAATAGGTGATTAAACAATCTGATTTTCAGAGATGTTCTGTAACATCATCTTTCATCATCACTGGAACTGAGAAGTGTTCACTATTACATGACAGAAGTAGAGGCTTCTATCAAGTCTGTAACAAAGGTATTTATTGAATTATCATGTTTTCTGCACTATATATAGTAACTGTACCAACTAGCAATGGATTATTGCAAGCTTTTTTTTGTTTGTCAGTACATTTTTCCATAAACAGCTTCCTCTTCACAAACTTTTGCTTCCCTTTTAACTTACATTCACCAGTGCTATTTTCTATTTCTCTAATAATATTTATATATTTTGGAAAAAAATTATTTTCAACTCTAGGCCTAATGCTTAAGAAACAAGAAGAACAACAATAATATTTTTAAACTCCTAAACCAAACCCGTAGACCCTAATAGCCCTTTAGACTGTCAGTTTGTTGGGCAGCTAGTGAAATGTTTTATAAGAAATAACAAGATTCTTTTTCTAGATGATCTCATTTAACTTTTTTTTCAAATTTGTGAAAGTGATCTGTTAATATCCTTTTGTACAGGTACTGCTGGTACTCCTGTTTATATGTTACAAATGTAATCTAGTTGAGACAATTCACATTGAAAAAATCACTAATTTTATGTTCTGGAAGCAACTTCTCCTTTTCAAGGTGAAGACTAGCATAAAGCTCCCAGACTTGGATGTAACACACATTAAGTCAGAAAATCAATATGTACTATTTCTGAAAATTTCAAAACCAGTCTTTGGAACATTGGCAATATATGCCACCTGATAGGTGCTGAGGCAGTGGGATGGTAGCTGTAGAACAGTGAAAAAACCAGTAAGTTTAAAAATGAAGGAAAAGTAACAAAATGCCATGGTTTGAGATAGCCCCAAAATCTAAATTCCCTAGTCCTAGCCCCCTGTCACATCTCAACCTAATGTGAGATGGGTTTTTTCCAGAAAAAACACACCAGACTCCAAATGGGGAAAGGGAATATATTACAATGACTGTACAAATAAATATTATAATACATTATACACACGATCATAACTATCTCTACCATGACATAAGTATTTACAATGGATCAGATCTCTTCTCCCCCCCAAATAAAAGTCCAGGAGGGAAGAAGGACACATCCCTTCCAGTCTCTAAGCAGAAGTATCTTCTACAGCAGCAGTCGTCTGTCCTCTCCACATGCAGCAGCTGATAGCTGGATTTCTGCCAGCACTCACAAGGGAGGCCTCCAAGCCTGTCTCGGCCCCTTGACGCAGGCAAAGGGGTCTTCCGTGGGCTACGTTCACCCCAGACAAGGTCATTCCACCACGGTCATATCACGAGCACAGGGGTCTTCGTGACGGTCTGGTATCTCCAGGAGATTCAAGCTCCTTGCAGGGCCTCTGCGCCCTGCCTCAGGCTGCGAGCTTCTTTGTAGCTTGCAGCAAGGGAGGGCCCCCAAGGTCACCCTCTCCGCATTCCATCCTGGCTGAACTCTCAGGACGACTGAGCTTCTTAGCTCTTCTCTGCAGTGCATGTCGCACTTCACCCCTCTCTTCTAGAACGTGAGGCGTTTCCAAGGAGTTTGGGGGGTCTGGTTCAGTTCTTACCCCCAAAACTCTGTAACTCTGTAACTCTTTTTCTCGGCTCTCCTTCCAGGAGTCCTTTCTGCGGTGCTGCATGCCTCTGTTGCTGCTTCTTATCTCTTCTGGCCCTGTGCCACCATTTCTCCGGTCAGCGTTGGTCTGTCACTACTCCTGCCGCTGCCCAGGGTGGAGAAAACATCTCCCAGCATAACTACAGACACTTAGCTCAGTCTAACACTGTTCCAAGTCTCTGCAGTCCCCCCAGTCGGGGCTGGGAGGGGGCCAGAGCCCTCCAAGGGGCTTCCTCGTGGCTCACAACATGGCTACCACTTCTTCAACCACCCAACTACAACTCTTCTCTTCCGTTTGGTTGTGGTATGTTTATATTTCACAGGAGCGCAGATTGTTTCAAATCTCCAGTGTCACCACCCCTTGGGGGTTACCACTTTTTCTTAGCTTCAGGGGGAAAACCTAGTTCAAACCACTACACAAAACATAATAAAACATAATTAGAAAAGAAATTAGATATTATTTAAGACTTCCCAAAGGAATGTTTTTCAACAGACAATAGATACTGAAATATTCTTGGAAGTTTTACCTGGCAGCATTATTCACCTGGCCACATTTGTTCATCTAAGATGCAAATACATTTACCACTCTTCAGACTCTCAGGAAACAACTAAAAAATGTTCCAAGCTTGCATATGAGAGCTCCTTTGAAAATATACAAGTTGTTGTCAAATCATTAATTAGAGTCATATAATTGTATGAAAGATATGTAAGACATTTTTTTAAGTAAATGAGGAAAACTAAGATACAGAGAGGTTAAATTACTTCATCACAGTGTCTTGCAAAGTTGACAATACATCAGGACTGGTTCCTTGAGAGATGAATAGCAAGTATAAGTTGCAGCTGACACTGCAGGTGTAATACTGCAGATGTGACCCTTCCATCCATATTTATGTGTCATATAAAACCAAACCCCATTTTTCCAATCAAAGAAGTGTCACCTAATTTAACGTTACTTAGCAATGTCTAAGCAAGGGTCTTAAGCTTGTAGCGTATTTGGTTCCTACCATAAACAAAGTGGATGAAAAGGGAGGACATCCTCACATCAGTCAAACAAATCCACACCTGTAAGTGATCTCAGTGGTTCTGGTTTTCCCCAGTGCCTGATGGTGACACACCTGAATGAAGAGCTCTGCAGCAGTGAGCAGCTTAATTAGCGCAGATCCTTTTCAAGGAATCAAGCCCATTGCAACAAGAATTACAAATGCACAGAGGTCTTCCCACTACTTGAAGTCAGCAGTCATGCTTTTATCCATTGATGTGCTGTCAATGATGAACTGACAGATGCAAGACTTCAGGCAAGAATGCCACACCCATACAAACTGGGAAATTATGTCCTGCTGCATGAAAATTATTGCATTAATTTACAGGCGGGCAAGGTCACCGCTTTTTCAAAATTTCTTTTGTGTTTCACAAGTGGAAATGACAAAGGCAAAGCTTCATTAGTGATCTAGCAGTCCCAGACAGATCAAGGTCTGAAGGAGATGAAATTCCTCCTGTACATATTGCAGGTAATCAATCATCAGACGTGTACTACCATCAGGAGAGGCCTGCAGTCACCAGATGCTTTGATGCACCTAGTGTCTTCCACCACAAAAACCAGCTGTCATCACTGCAAGACAGTTCTGGCATGCTGGCATCATTGCCAAGCTGGTTTTCAGGATAGTCTCCCTCTCACTGTGATTTTTTGGTTTACTAGAAGGCACCCTGTACTCATGGGTGTTGAGAGAAGAGCATATGTGGCTCATAAAGAAATGAAGGCATGACCCTAGTAGAGAGTTTACCATTCAGTGGCACCACTGAGTCTTTGCTCAACACTGAGCTCTGCATGATACTGTGGAGTCAGGAGGCTGCAGGGACCAGCACCTCTGATACCAGAACAAAAGCAGGGATATTGGGTACCCATAACTTCAGAAACACTGTGTGATACCCCGGCATCAGACATGTGCTCAGAGCTGCTGAACTTGCTTGAAGATCCAGTCTTTGCTGAGTTCCCCATAAATGTTTTTGTTTTAAATAAAGGGAGATACTTCTCTGAGGTTACTGGCTTAGCCTGTACAGCATTTTAAAGTACATATTATAATGAATTTTCCATCAAAGCTGTCACTTGCTATTTACCTTAAGAAGATAAATACAGGAAGACTGTTACTATAGGAAAGCCCTAACTGGTTTCCCATTTCAAGGTAGGCACTGTCTGTGCTATAATACTTAAACCCACTGTGATCCCTCATGAGACAGGAATGCTTAACAAGACAAAGAGGAATTTCTCATTTCACTAGTGGGGTTCCCTGAGGCTCAGTACCAGGGCCGGTCCGTTTAATACCTTTACTGATGATTTGAACAAGGGGATCAAGTGCACCTTCAGTAAGTTCGGAGATGACACAAATCAGATAAGAGGATTGCTCTGCTGGAGGGCAGGAAGGCTCTGCAGAGGGATCTGAACATGTTGGATCAATAGGCTGAAGCCAATGGTATGAGGTTCAATAAGGAAAAGCACCAGGTCCTGCACTCAGGTCACAACAACCCCAGGCAGAGCTACAGGCTGGGGGAAGAGTGGCTGGAAAGCTGCCCAGTGGAAAAGGACCTGGCTGGTTGACAGCCACTGAACATGAGCCACCAGTGTGCCCAGGTGGCCAAGAAGGCCAATAGCATCCTGGCCTGTATGAGAAATAGTGTGGCCAGCAGGACCAGGGAAGTGACTGTCTCCCTGTAATCATCACTCGTTAGGCTGCACTTCAAATCCTGTGTTTTGAGCCCCTGATGACAAGAAAGACATTGAGATATTTTTATACTATAAAGTATAGAATTATGGCTATTCCGTGACTGTGTAAAGGTAAACAAAATAAAAAAAAATAGGCAACAGTCACCTATCATTGAAAGAATTGTTGTTACAGTTAGATTAACTACCAAAGCACCAGGCAGGCCAAGAAGGCCCCCTCCAATAATGCCAGGCAAGCTTGCCTCAGTCCTGAGATCTTGCAAAGTTACTGCAAAGTCTAAGGCTTTACTGGGCTTTACATGACCACTGAGAGTTTCTTCTCAAAAAAAACGAAGAGGCATCATTCCAAAAAATGTTCCATGTTACTGTAAAGGGAAAAGTAAACACATTTTATTATCAGGGAATAAAATGCCTGCCTGATCTGGTTTCCATGAAGTGAACAAGCTCATTTGCAACAGACAATCCCTCCCTTCCACCACAAGACACACATCCACACCCCACACTTCAGTTTTTACTGCTATATTTCCTGTGGCATATTAATCATGGCTAGGCTTTGTGAATTAAGATTTGGAAAAGGTTCTATCGACATTTGTTACAAGCACACTGGTGGCTAATAAGGCCAATATGAGACAGACATGTCCGATTGCAAAAGGCACAGCAGAAAGACTCCTTAGGTGGTATATTCTGCAATACACGGTTCTTTCTGCGTTGTCTTTTCTCCTCCAGAGTGATCCTGCGTGCTTTCTCAAAGGAAACGGCAGTGTTATAAATAGTGTGTCTCCAGGTCTCCTGATTGGAGGCCAGAGTAGACCAGTTATGTTGATCAGTATGGCCAAGGCTGAGATGTTGTTTCAGGGAGTCCTTGTATCTCCTCTTCGGGGCTCCTCTCTTGTGGCAGTCGGTGGCAAGTTCACCATAAAGCAAGATCTTAGGGAGGCGGTGATCCTTCATCCTGGAGACGTGTCCTGCAGGTGTGTTCTCATCAACATGGCCTCAATACTTGTAACTGCTGCTTGTTCTAGAACAGATGTATTGGTCACATCATCTGACCCGTGGATGTTTAGGATTGTACGGAGACAGCGTTGATGGAGGTGTTCTAGGAGACGCAGGTGGTGGCGATAGATGACCCATGATTCGGAACCATATAAAAGAGTAGACAGCACTATGGCTTTGTAAACACTGATCTTTGTACTTTTCTTCGTGTTTATTACGCCAAACTCTTTTATGGAGTTTTCTGAAAGCACTACATGCCTTTGCTAACCTGTTGTCTATCTCTCCATCAATCTTGCCATCCGAGGAGATGAGGCTACCTAGGTAATTAAACTGCTGGACTGATTTGAGCTCTGTCACAGTCAGAGGAGACTGGAATGTTTGCTAAAGAGGATGAGTTATGAGATAGACTAAACTCCTCTCTCTCAGCAATTGTAAATTCAAAATTAAGGGGCTTTAATCGAGGAAGAGTGGAAAAAAACCCAGAAGAAATAACAACCCTTTATTAAAAGATATATGTATATTGGCAAAAACAGTAACAGAACACAAAAAAACTAGACAGTAGTCCTAGAAAAAAGAAGGTCTGAGTGAATACTTCTCTGTCCTTTAGCGCAGTCCTAATCGTGGCCTGCAGGAGGCGCTGTTGGATTGCTGAAGGTGTAGGGCCTGCAGTTCTTGTTGTTCCCAGATGACAGTGTTCTGAGGCTCTTCCCTTCTCTCCCAGCAAGCACAGACCCCTCCGATGAAAACCCAGTAGGTCCCGGCTGGAGTCACGAGGCAGTGTGCGAGCCGACTGAGTCCGGTGGTCCGGCCTCACCAGGACGAAAAGCCAGAAAAAAAGACTTCCAGGCCTTTTCTCCAAATGCCTGCACACAGATTCCTGTCTCCGTCCCCAGGAGCAAACTCCACAGTCTGTCCCCCTCCCAAAACTTCTTTCTCCTCTCCCCCTAACCTCTCTGATGGGCCATTAGCTAGGAATTCGGCCAGATCTTTTGTAAAGCTAATTGACTCCATTCCCCCCACTCACTCTTTTTTTTTTGAGTGGAGCAGGGGAAGAAAAATTCCCCTATGGAATTTAAAATCTATAACAAGCTCTGATTGGCCAATGGTGATATGGAGATGATGGAAGACTTCCTGAGGTGCAGGTTGGTAGAGAACTTCTGTCTTCTTTAAGCTGACTTCCAACCCAAAGAGCTCAGCAGTGTCTGCAAAGCAGGATGTTAAACACTGCAGAGCTGCTTCTGTGTGGGCAACAAGGGCGGCGTCATCAGCATAAAGCAGCTCCCAGACAAGATGATTTAAGGTCTTGGTGTGGGCCTTCAGTCGCCTTAGGTTGAAAAGGCTTCCATCAGTACGATATCAAATGTAGATACTGTCCTGATCATTGAGGTCTGCCATGGCCCTTTGGAGCATCATGCTGAAAAAGATTATGAAAAGGGTGGGCCGTGTTGATATCTGACTTGGCCGTATTGATCTGACTTGGCCGTGTTGATCCTCATGGAGTGAGATGATCATTTTAAGGAACTTGGGGGGACATCCTAAACATT